ACTTGATAAAATGATATTTTTTCTTAAACTCCAAATATTTGAATGGCAATATTTTTCCCACTATCAATTTTTTAAAAATTTTTACTTATTGATTTTTAGAGAGAGATAAAGTGGGGGATAGAAAGAGGGAAATACCGATTTGTTGTTAAACTTCTTCATGCATTCATTGGTTGGTTCTTGTATGTGCCCTGACCAGAGATTAAACCTGCAACCTTGAAATATCAGGACAACGCTCTAACCAATTGAGCTATCTGGTCAGGGCTCATTTTCTTTTTAAATAAAATAAAAATCTAATCCACAGAAGTACATGACAACTCTGGGGAAGAAAGGAAAAGAGAAAAGTTGTAAAAAATTACAAATAGTATAAATAATTTTATTATTTCATAGTCTCAATTTCTATAGGATGAAGAATTGAATAATTATGGAAAAACAAATGCTTCATTAAAACTCTCTAGATTTATCCTTTTACCCAAGTTTATTTCTTTGATTACATGACAAGAAATGTCATCAGTTTTAGAGTGATCATGTTTCTTTGCATGTAATTTTTCAGAAAATATTATTGTAAATTGTTGAGTGCACACACATCATGTCATATAGTAGGATCAAACTAAAGCAACATAAATATTTCTTTAACTTTTCAGCATTAAATTATTCATGCTTTTGTACTATGTCATCCCAAATCGATGTGTGCCATACTCAAATTGGGGCTCTACCCTTCATACTGTGTTAGCTGTCTTATTTGAGGCATTGCATAAATGCTTTAAGTCAGTTGGTTTATTCCTTTTAAGCTCCTTGATAATTAAGTGAATGGTTAAGTAATTTTGATTCTCTTGTTAATTTTTTTCTAGGAAGTATATTTTGTATTGGTGTGTGTATATATATATATATATATATCTTTTATATTGTTGAGATAATTAGGTCCAGAAAGTTCAAAGTTTGAGGTATTCTGATTGTTACTTGGTTACTCTAAATAGGTAGCTGAACTATTTCTGATAAAAATGGAGGGAGCTTTATATGGAAGTGGTTGATTTTTTTCAAAGCCAAACAATTTATGGTTTTGGCTTTGTGTGCTTTGAATTTTCTGGAAAGGAGTATTAATCTTCCTTTACTTAAAATCTATTTAATGAATTTGGTATGTCCTAGTAAAAAGAGGTTACCATTCTATAAAAGCAAAGAGGAAACATTCTATGAAACCAAACATGGAAAAATTTTTTAAAAAATCAAGTTTTTGTGAAATTGGAATATGAAGGTAGCCAGCTGGACAATCTGATCTGCCTTTCATTTGCAACAGCATTTGATATAAACTTTAAATAATTAATTAAGAAATTACACTGCAACAGAATGTTATAAGAGCCTTTTATGTAACTTAATACAATGCTATTTAAGGCTGCCAGCAAACTCTTAAAACTCCTGGACACGGGCTCTCTTCTCTCCTGGCTTCCCTCCTAGTCATGTCTTGGCTACTATCCAGAGCTGACAACTTTCACCCAGGAGTGAAGGGAGATTTGTGAGCATAAGAAGGATTTTTGAGCCACCCTAGATTTTCACATCCAGATGGGCAAGGAGGAGGGATGGCAGTGTAATTGTATATACGTGGGTGATGTCATTAGGCCATCCATGCAGCATAATCATTAATTTACTCATACCGGTGAATAACAAATATCCTTATTCAAATGTTCCTTATTGGGAACTATAATGTAATGACTTCAAAATTTTTTAAAAATTATGTTCAAATGTATGCCTAAGTAATTGATGAACATAGTATTGCTTCTCCATTTCCAACTGCATATACTGTAGGCCAAAGAGGTTTTGTGTCTTAGCTAGTATCATAAACACACTTAGAGTCTGTTAGGATGAGAATGTGGAAGGTCTAGTAGTATCAGGGCCTCTGCTCGGATGGTGATGCCAAGCTTTCTGAACACTGCCCGTGATATTACAGCAATTTACTGTCCAACTTATTCTGTTCTTCCCAAAGTGCATTGTAATTGCTGTGCTTCTAAGGATTGTTTTTACCGTCATTAATTTTAGATTCTTTCAAGTAAATTCACCTCCCTTTATGTAAAAGACCATTTAGTGTTAATATTACAATGTGAAGGCTGTTTGACAGGAGTGGTTTGAAGGTATGATCATGTCAGTGGACCACACTTACGAATCTTGGAAGTACAGCAGCAATCTGTAACCTACTTTAACTTTTTAAAACAATATGTACATTTACATACCCAAATATCTCCTATGCTTTTACAAATAATTGGAAGACTATCTGAGTCTTTAATTAAAATAAAATCAGAACTTTGATGTTATGTAATTTCCAGTGCTTTTTATTCTACAGAAATTTTCAGATGTCTTTACAACTTTCACAATTAATTGGTTTGCCACATTTCATAAACTGTTTGCCAAAACTTCTGTGCAGAAGGGAGTAAGATCACTGTTAACTGTAACTTACTTTCTGTTTATAGTCTGATTCAAAGTTTATTCTTGTGCTAATACTTCATGAAAGCTTTCAAAATAGAATTGTGTTTGTAGTTAATAACTATGATATAAACCTGTGGAACTTAAAAATATGACAAATGAAATATACATTTGAGTTTTGAGATTTGAAGTCTACATCTTTTTTATACATATCTTTTATATTTGGAATTTATTAGTTTTCCTTTGCAAAGTGGAAATAACTTTTTTAATCTCCCACAAACTACCTTATTAAAATCCCTATAATGTTGAGAAATATTACCCGGTGTTAAATGGGTTACCAATAAATTTTAAGATTAAATTAAGGAAGGAAACCCTCTTTGAAATAAACACATGTCAGGTTGACCATTAAATACACAGGACTTTGCTTATCTCCTACTAGCATGGAAGGCTAATCCCATCCTTAAACCTCACAATTTCTATTATTCGAGTAATTGAGAGAGCCCTACTTTTATATCAATGAAATCCTAAATATTTGAGTTCTAACAAAAACTCACTTTTATTATTTTAGATTCAGATATTTAGATACAAAGGCTTAGTCTTCTATTTATAGATAAAAGGAAATCTGACCTTTCTTGATTAAGAAACATTGTCAGTAGCCTTTTTTAAGTGCTTGTTCATCTGAGGGTCCACGAGAGCCGTACTCGTCCCAGTTGAGCTCATCCCAGAAACAACATGATAGGAGCCTGCTGGCTGTTATCTAATATTCTTCCTAACGGAGAACCACATGGCCATTCTTCATCTCCCGCTCGTTCTCATCCTCACAACCAATTGAGCCACACCCCACCCCCACCCCAACATTGTTCAGTACTCAGCACAATGAATCATTTTCAAGTTGACTCATTGTGAACTGTCTCCCAGCTGTTGGAATGTCTGGCAGACATTTTTGTTTGGGTGAAGAATAACTGGCTGAAACCCAACCTGGATGAATTTGATATAATGGTCTTTGGCTAAAGAAATATTGAGAGGACGGTGCTTATGGCCTCTGGAGCCCCTGGTATTCCTGGAGGAGGACCATCCCCTGTGGCACAGAACTGAAAGTAAAGAATCAATCTGGATTATTTTCTCACCATTGAGTGAAAAATTGCCTCAGAAGAAACAGGCATTTCCACATTATGTTTGCTTTTCTGTACTTGGTGCCCACGTGATTAAAAGTGTTAAAGACAATGAAGAATACTTACTTTTACTTGTTCCTTTTAAGAGACTAATTCAAAACCTGAAGCATTCTTTATATAACACACATTTCTACTTATGGAGGAGTTTCAAATAGTGCCCTAGGTGTGAGTTAGCCAGTCATTTCAGCATAATGTTTAGTGGCGGAGGCTATTTATGTATTTCATGCTGATTCAGGTAACATTGACCCGCCCTCTCTAATTTTTCTTTTTTACACAATCTTCACACAAGGACTTAAGAAACAGAGGGATACAAATAAGCTGAGTGGTCAATCTTATTTTCAGAAAGTGAACAACTTTGATTATATTTGGACTTTTCTTTAATGGGACACAGATCCGACTAATAAATTTTCTTGACGGTTTTTCATTGTTCATCCTTTTTTTAAAGATGAGTTTAAAACTGGTGGACATTACCAGTGTATAAAGTGAAAATTTCCAAATTATAAAATGTTTACAAACAATAACTGTTTTCAACTTATCTAGCTCTTACTAGCAACATTTTTTCTAGGATGTTATAGCTTATAAAACAATTTTCTGACCTAATCAGCTTGTCGAACTGAAAGAAATACTGCATTTCCACTAAATCAAATAATTCAAGGAAACTTATATGATATTTAATAATTGTATTTTAAAGACATGAAATTCCAGGTATTTTAGAAGTTTGCCACTTAAAAGGTAACTTTAAAAGATGTGTTGTTTAGCAATACTTTTGGTTCATATCAGGTTGTGTTGGGAAGCAAAGGGTGTGCTCCTAGTCTAGTGCTAGTTACCTACTGTCTTTTCTTTGCCTTGATTGTTACTCCAGAGCCAAATAGCTGCATCTGGAAGGGGAAAACAGAAGACTCCAGAGCCAGCCATGCTGCAGCCTCTTAAAGGCTAGACCCTTCTGTTTCTAATGTGACAGAGGACCTCAGCTGTTACAGGGCTAGGACCTGGTCCCAGGTGGCAGGTGACAGTAGGGCCTTGCCTTACACATTTTGCTGCAGTGTCTACTGCTCCTGAATCCTGATGCCTATCAGATTTCACAATGGGCAATGACTAAAGCAATTTGAAAACTAATAGTTTATCAGCATAAAGGTAGCCTTGTCCAACAAGACAAGAGAAAAATAATTAATTTGTATTTTGTACCAAAACTAAAGTTCTTTGACTTAAAATAGAATACCTACATGGGCTGGAAATTTCAACGAAGGGCATAGTTTCATCCAGTTTTTGGCCTGTGCCAGCTTTAATTTTTGAGTCATTTTTCTCACTATCTTCATGGTCATTCAGCTTTATAATTTGTCACTGAGATGGCAAAATGGCACTGTATACATATTATGTTTTTAAACATAACATGAGTGTTTTTGTTTTCTTGTTTTACAGAATAAAGCAATTATTGCTCGTATTACAAACTTGTCAGATACAGTAGTTCATCTGGAGTCATTTATTGGTTCTGACAGAGAAACCAACCCATTATATAAGGATTATCATGGTAAGCAGCACCTTTATACTGAGAAGAGCATGTCATGGTTGCTTCTAAGGTACCTAAAAGTATCTAGTCCAATCATAATACCTATTGTCAAGTAGCATGCATTTTATTTTATGTCTGTTAAATGTTTTTTATTCCTGACAAGTCTTCCATGGCAGCATGTCAGCAAACTACATTAAGACTATAGACTACATTAAGACTGTGGCCTTGACTGGTACAGCTCAGTGAGTTGGGTGTCATCCAACAAAGCACAAGGCCACCGGTTCGATTCTCAGTCATGCCATATCCCCAGGCTGGGGACATATGAGAGGCAACCAGTCTATATTTCTCTCGCACGTCAATGTTTCTCTCCCTCTCCTTCTTCCCTTCCCCTCTCTTTAAAAATAAATAAATAAAGTCTTTAAACAAAACAAAAAAGGGAATCAAACCCTAGTTCTAAGGCATGGCTTACTCACATTTACATTTTGTTTGTCCCAGTGGCCTAAACTTGCCGTGAAATCAGTCGTACTTATTAGCCATGTTTGAAATAAGTATATTAATTTTAATAATAACAGCTTTGTAGACAGTATTATACTTTACGAAGCTTAGCTATATGGTAAATAAAAAGTAAAATTTATATTGTATTATGTTTTATTTAAGATTTTATTTACTTATTTAGAGAGAGGGGAAGGGAGGGAGAAAGGGAGGGAAAGAAACATCAATCTGCAGTTGCCTCTCACATGGCTCCCACTGGGGACCTGGCCCACAACCCAGGAATGTGCCCTGACTGAGAATCGAACCAGTGACCCTTTGGTTCACAGCCCAAGCTCAGTCCGCTGAGCTACACCAGCCAGGGTGCATTATGTTTTAAAAGTCTTAGTCAATAACATTTTCAGAAAGTGAGAATCTATGATCATATTTGGACTTTGCTCTGTGTACTCTTTTGTTGTTAGTTTGTGTTAAGAACAAATTTTAAACTATCCCCACCAAGGGCGCCTGGCTAGCTCAGTTGGTAGAGCATGAGACTCTTAAAATATCACCTCCCTAGTATAAACACAGGACACTTAATCAGACTTTTTAACTTCCATGGTTTGAAGCTTTTAAAAGCATTTTAGTCATTTGGTTGATTTAGGGATTTTTTTTTAAATAAAGATTCTTACATAGAACTATTGCAATAGGAAAGGTTTAGTAATTATGCGTATCGTAGATCTAAACTGAACAATATTAACTACTTACCTATTCTGAGTGAATATTAGCTGTTTACCTATTCTGAGTGAATATTGACTATTGCTGGTACTGTTGTGGGACCACTGCACTAACTTGGAGACCTGTGGTCTACTACAAGGCTGCGATTGCAGGACTAGGGCAGTTGCCAGTGTCCACACATGCATGAAAAGATTATACTGTACTCTACATGATGGTTGTCACTGCTTTGAAGTCAGCACACAACCTTTAAAAAATAACAATCAAGTATTTTTTTAAAAGTTCATAAACTATAAGCTGTGAACAAAGCTACATAAAACCATTTGCCTTGTGTTCGTCTACTTGTTGAAGTTTGCATCTGGGATACGCCCAGACCCTATATATAACTCATTTAATATAGCATTGTTATGATTGGAAGAGAGCTATTAAGATTAAACTGTTTCTATTTTTAATGACTACAATTGGCATATAATATTGTATGTGGTTTAGGTGTACAACATAGTGATGATGTATATGTGTATATTGAGAAATGATAGCCGCAGTAAGTTTAGCTAACATTCACCACCACTCATAGTTCCAGTTTTAAAGATTTTTTATTTATTTATTTTATTTTTAGAGAGGGAAGGGAGGGAGAAAGAGAGAGAGAGAGAAACATCAATGTGCGGTTGCTGGGGGTCATGGCCTGCAACCCAGGCATGTACACTGACTGGGAATCGAACCTGCGACACTTTGGTTTGCAGCCCGTGCTCAATCCACTGAGCTAAGATCTTCTCTCTTAGCAACTTTCAAATGCACAGTTCAGTATTGTTACCTGTAGTCACTGTGCTGTACACTACATCCCTAGGAATTACTTACTGTATAAATGGGCAAACTCTTTCTTTAATCTATTATTATTTCTCTTTTCTTTTAAAACTACTCAAATTAAATATTATTTCAATAGATTATATCTGGGTATCATTTGTAAGTACTATGACCTTGTGAATTTAGTAAAATTGTATTTTATATATTTTTTAATTTTATTTTATTTTTGTAGAGATGGGGGAAGTGAAGGAAAAACAGGGAGAGAAACACCAGTGTGCGAGAGAAATACCAATAGGTTGCTTCTCACACGTACCCCAACTAGGGACTGGCCCAAAACCCAGGAGTGTTCCCTAACCAGGAATCAAACCAGCGACCTTTCAACACTCAAACCAACTGAGCCACACCGATTAGGGCTATATTCTAAAAAACTTACTTTAAGACATTTCAAGGGTTAAAAACGGACATTTTGTGTTGAAATCTCTGAATTGATCAATTATTCTGCAAAAATCAATAGTTCTGATGACCAATAAAGTTTCTATGAACAAGAAGGACCTGATGAATCATTCATTCACTCTGTAAGGCCTCCTGATTTAATAGTTAGCTAAACTATTAGCTAATAGTTAGCAAGAACATGAAAGGTTAAAATGAAAAGTGTGCAAAGGAAAGTACGGTACGCTCATTGCTAATATATTTTACTCAATAGCTCTGCATGAGATATTTTTAATTTGTATCTAAAAACTTGTCTTCTCCACCCTGGCTGGTGTAGCTCAGTGGATTGAGCGCGGGCTGTGAACCAAAGTGTCACAGGTTCAATTCCCAGCCAGGGTACATGCTTGGGTTGCAGGCCATAACCCCCAGCAACCGCACATTGATGTTTCTCTCTCTCTCTCTCTCTCTCTCTCTGTCTCCCTTCCTTCCCTCTCTAAAAGTGAATAAATTTAAAAAAAAACCAACTTATCTTCTCAATGTAACACCTTTTGCATTTTTTAATTTAAAAAGAAGCCAGATATTTTATTGAATTATTATTAAAAGGGCCATTTCTGAAGTAAAGCACCTAGCAATTTACCCGTTTAAGCTAAAACAAGTACATACGTTACTAAGCACTCAAACACACACAAAGCTCTATGCTAGAGAGCAGTTCTGTAAATAAGATTTATCTACTTTGTTCACATCTTGGTTTGTCTTCTTCCCCCACGTTTAGGGATCAGTGTCTTTGGGATGGTGATTTTTAAATATGGGCTGAGTCAGGCAGAGAGACGCACTGAGGAGTCTTCATGTCTTCATCTGTGGTAAATGACCCCTAGTTTAGTCAGAAACTGCATTAAGCTGCACAAAAGCCATCCAGTGCCCTTGTCAGAAAAAATTAGCAAGTGTTTCTCCTGCAAGAAGCCAAAGCTCATGGTTTACCTAGCACTGTTAGGAAGCTTATAGCAGCTACAGGAAGGTCTAACATGCACAGAAATGAGTATCGTGGAATGGCATAGAAATTAACGTCTGATTCTAGAGGATGCTCTAAAATGTAGTTTTCTTCAATGGTTCGTGCAAGTTGTTGATAAGGTACAAGATGAAATACTTTTCACGAGAGCCTCACTGGTTATCAGTAACCCGTAAGCCTTGTTTTGCTGGCTGCTTACTGGTGCATTTAATAAAATAAAGATCACCCAGTGGTGCCGTGGGCAGCATGCAAGGTGATAGCCATATTTGCTTACTGTAAATACAAGAGAAAATCACACACAGACCGGCTGTAGTTTTGACAAGTATTAAGATCCTTCTTTACATCTGTACTTCTGTACCGAAGTGCAATTAGTTTTCCTCGCACAAGGATTTCTGTTTATCTTATTCTGCTTGATTACTTGAGTATAATCACACCATTTGCTTCATTGCTCCTGGTAGTAAGCTCCGGTTTTGAAAGGGGAGGGTGCCTGTGTGTAAATTTACAGGATTCTGCTGTAAGACTCTAATTTATGCATCCAATGACAGTGTTTTTAATTTTTTCCCTTTTAATTTTCTTTCCACAAGGTTTGATTCACATACGGCAGATTCCTCGGCTTAATAACTTGATTTGTGACGTGTCAGAAGTCAAAGACTTGGCTTTTAAATTAAAAAGGAAGTCATTCACCATTGAGGTAAGAGAGAATTTTTGTATTTCAGTTCAGTTTTGAGGTAAATAGTATCTGTTAATATATGTAATGTATATACATATGTATTTTCTTAAGTGAAATTCTTAAATGTTTCATGCTAAATGTTTTTAAGTATTTTTGGTGTATCAAGATAATTCTTTAGACTATCCTATTTTTTTCTTTAACAACGTCTTGAGAGAGTATAGCAAAAGTGATTTTGTTTCAAATGTCTATTAACAGTAGCTCCAAACTTACATGATGAGTGTGAGGTGTGTATTTTCAAGGCCCTCAAAGGCATATTTAATTAAATGTTAGTGAGCTGTGCTTATTTGTGGATGGAATGTGAATGCTACCCACAGTTGTGTATGGCTGGCTAAGAGAAGAGGACCCTTACATGCCTTCTACAAGCAGTTCTCTCACTAGTAGTGAACTCACCTTTCCGTTTTCCATGCCGAATAAAACAAAGTGTTCTCATTTACACCAGTTTCCTTTAAGTAAATTGTCCACAAAACTTCAGCTGTTTTTGTGACCTTTATGCAAGTAGTAGTGACAGAAAGTGGTAGTACAAAAGATTTATTTCAACTTAATCTTGCTAAAGAGCAAATGAACATAGCACTATTAAGCAATTAGGGTTGATGTATTTATTAACGGAATAAATGCTCAGAGAGAGATGGCTTTTGGGTGGTGTGATAGTTATCAGTATAGGCGGTGCAATTTTTTTTTTTAACAAAGACATAAAACAGCCAAGCAGCCTTGACAAACCATTTTGTTTAATCTCTTTTCAAATGAAAAGCTCTTAAGCAGGCCACTTGTCTTAACTGCTTGAAACCATAAAAAGAGAGAATTGCCACCAATAAATTAGCATATTTTTAACTTCATCACCAAATGATGGTCAATGTGGCTTGGCACTGCTTTGGTGTTTGGGACTTCACCCTTAAGTGACCACTTTGGCCCTTCTTTGACCCCCTGCCCTCTTTAGCTGGCCACTTGATAACGTAACTTAATGGTTCTCTCTCTTTTTCTCTTTCCCGTCACATTTGCAAGTAGCACTAACCTATAAATCATCGTAAGGGCCCTATCCAGTGACAAATTAATGTGCCCTCCTCCTAATTAATGGTCATCAATGTCCTTAATTATCTAATCCTATTGAGAGCAGTTAATAGTTAATCAGGCAGCCAGTTCTTCTAGCAGGTCATCTCTGCAGGAGCGTTAGAAGTTTCTCTTCTGGGGATACTCCCTCCAAAAGCCACTTGAAGCCAAAAGAACGGGAGTGTAGAAATACTGATTCCTGAGCTAATTTGGTTTAGCTCTCAAAAGAAACCATTGAAATGGAACCCAACACTGTAATTGTTCAAACACTGCTTCCATTTTTCTGACAGGTTATTGAGAAATTTACCATAATATATATAGTTATGAAAATAAATGTGAAGTTACAGTTGTTGGTATCATAAAGAGAGCATGCCTGGTCATTTTCTTTTAAGTTGAATTTATATTTTTAATGAAAGATGTGAGTTTTTCTTTCCATGTGAAACTTTCTCCTAAGGTGAGCATCTGACAACCAGGTCTAAGGTACCATGCCTATCACCATAGAAAGTAAGCAAGGACATTCCTTAGTGAAAAAAGAATATTGCACCTAGGGAAAAAAGTAGCAGAATAGTATGAATCATGTTTATTCCTTCTCTCTCTCTCTCACACACACACGCGCGTATGCATACCTGCACATGCTCACACCTGCTGAATCTTATCTGGGGGTAAGAAGGTAGAAAGAAAGGACTTACATGATTTCAAGTGAGACCTCTGCTCTCAATAACTTCAGGTTCTAACAGGGGTGCGTTTTACCATTGAAGCTGGTGGAAGATTGTTTATTAACCACAAGAGTTTCTGTTCCATTTCCTCTCTTCTCTCCCCACTGTTCTGAACTAAAAGAACCATTATAATTGGCGACTCTGTGGTTTGGAAGCAATATTTGAAAACAAAACACTAGTAGATATTTTTAAGTTAATATTTAATACAATCAAATTCTTTACCTTTTTTGGCTTATAACCAAATCAATAGTGTGAGTATACATATATATATATATATGCACATACATGTACATACATAAATTTACACATACATATATAAACTTATTCTATATAACTTAATGCCACAAAATTCAATTTGATGATTAGAAAATATAAAGAATTAAACAAACCTAATAAAAGTACATATAGGTATAATCACAATAGGATAAAATTATGTGATTTGTGTAAGACTAATGCTTAAATACAGCATTGTACATTATAGGAACGTACATGTTCCTACAGATAACAAGTCTTCGGTGATATATTCTAGACAATGGAAACAAGAGTACTTTTATGTTGGGAGAAGAAATTACCTACCAAGTGACAGTGTTTTGATATGTACAACAAATAACTGTTTTTTTTAAAACTTCCCTGGTATTTAAAAAATAATAAAATGTACGCTCTACTAGTTTGTAAAATCTGAGGCTGTAATATACCAGGCATTGGATCTTCATCTTACTTTTAGAAGGGAAAAGTGGTTTAGCGGGTAAAGCAGAGATAACTTTTCTGATTCCACACAGGTAAGTTTGTTACATGTTGGAAATTACTGTCGATCACCTGGTCTAAAGGCCAAAAGAAACAGGCAGACACTCTCATCTCCATTTTTAGGATACTTTTTCTTTGATTTCTTAAATCATTGCCCTTTTTATATATACAAACTGAATATTGTTTTTACTAATGGCCATCAGGGGCCTTTAAAAGGTAGAGCGACTTTACCCAGTAGTCTCTAATGTCTTTGAATGACTTGGAGAAGGCCAAGAACATTTCCTCCTCCTTGGAATGTGTATCGGTACTGTCCAGAATCAGGTGGAAGCATTTATCTGGCCACAGCAGATTTTTCTTATATCTTTATATCTTATATCTTTATCTTTATATCTTTATCTTATCTTATCTTTATATCTATATCTTTATCTATATCTTATATCTTTATAGTCAATATTCATTGACTATAAAGCCCTATAAATTCACCCCTGTACAATAACCATAGCAGAATCATATCTACAGTAAAGACACTGAAATCCTGGCATACGTCCTGGATCAGTAAAAGAGAAAGTTTAAAAGTCAATTCAATATGACTACAGTTAAAAGAAGACTTTCCAATTCCCTGAAAAGTGATAATCCTTGTAAACTGTGCATGGTGACTCTTTAGCATATTTGATTATTCGTAATATACCACTTAATCCCTTTCCTTACCACAGCCTCCGTTCAACCAAAGCAACCGTTTATGTACTGAGCCTTTCTTATGTAATAGGTGCTCTACTGACTTATTGATATTTTCTATGCACTGATTAAATATTTTATAAAGATAACTAACATATAATAATAGACACAACATACAGAAACTATATCTTTTTCATCTTTGTTGCTATCCCAAAATTAAAAACAGAGTCATATACTTAGTAGTTATAAAATCTTTGCTGAAATATATGTCATATCAATAAATTATGTAGTTTTAATAATAGTTCAAATACAACTGCAGGTATTATGTGAGCTCCACTGGTCGTGACCTATAAACACTGCCGTCTCAGGAAACTCCTGTAGGATGTATCACTTCACTTCCAAGCTGAATCAATTACTTATACTTGTATTCTTTTCAATTCCTGTAATTTTTATTTCTCTAATAATGGGGTTTCCATTGATCAGTTTTTTTATATTTATAATTGTGATGTAATTATAATACATAAACAAGATTTGAAATGTGGTTGCATTTAATTTTATGATATCACAGGAGCAGCATTTTGGGGGATTTAGTAGTGTTTTGCTACTTTCATTCCGTATTGTTCAACTTGATCATATCTTAACATGTTCTAGCAATTGCATTTTCTAGTACAAATGATGATAATGTAGTTACAACCTCTATCAACTAGGGCTTCTGTGTTGGTAGGGGACAGTTTTCCAGATTTAAGATTCAGTGTTTCTGTGTTCAAGTCAGAAAACGTGGTTACTGAAGAACACTGAAGTATACGAAGACATATACCGCTCACTGCAGATTTTCAATACAAGGATAAATAGTACTTATGTAGGCTTTAATTGGTCCCAAAACAGTAGTTATGTTAAAAAATAGTGTTTCTATACAGTTCTTGTACACTCTGTGAATATCGAGAGTTCAGTAAATCTAGTTTACTTAAGGTTATCTTGTCACACTTTGCCCATAATTCAGAATATAGGACCCCAGTACCTCTCCAATCACAAAGAACTTTCACTCACAGAATAACAGATCAACCAGTATTTATTAAGTAACATAATTTTTGATGTACTTGCTTAGTAGATTCATTCTTAATTATTAAGACTGAAATGAGTATATCAGTATAAATTCAGAATGTCATCGATATAAATTAGCTTTCTAATAATACTTCAGTGTACTTGATATGATTCAGTACAATTATTTGAAATTTTTATGTATTAAAAGAGCATGAACTTTTGCAAATGACAAGGGTGTCAGGTCACTATGACGGTGTTGGGCAGCCTGGGATGTTGCGTGATGACTTGAGTCCTAGGTGTCCTTACTTCCCTGCATCTTGTCAGCAGCCTTTTCACTTCTTACATGGCAAGTAGAAAGGTGGCTCCATTTACTGTATCTAGAGGTCAAGGAAAGGGATAGTTAACTCACTTGTCACTTCACAATTATGTCACTCGTATATAATAATGGAAACGTAATTGTCTGGCTGGGGAGCATTATTAAGTTGTGGCATCAGGGCCCATATAGCCTACAATACCTTTTCTGATAATGATTCCCTCCATGAACACTGGTTAGCACTTCAGTTCCCAGATATCACTGCAGTGAGCTAAGGAAAATCCAAGCAGAATATAGACATTTCTATATGGATGAAGTCATTTGTCACAAGTTAATCCAAATTAATTTTCTTTAATAATGGAAATGTTATTTTCTACGTGTTTACGTTGAACGTATTACCACCCCCATGGTTACACTTTAATTCCCAA